TCGTGCATGCCGTAGTCGTTACACCGTTGACCTCGCACCCCTACAAAACCGGGACGGAGCACACTTACCCCCTCGCTAGGCCCATTGTTACTTTACGGGTTGTCTTCCCGTCTGTGAAGGCTTGAGGATAGGTAGGAGGTCGGCAAGCAAACGAGAGGAGTGGGGGCGGGGCGGGAAGACGAGAACGCCTTTGATACAAGCAAAAACTCGGGACTTCTTTTTTTTTTTCCTCGAGTGGACTTGATATGAGGGGTCTGTCGCCTTGGCGTAAGGGGTGGTTTGCCAAAATCGATCATGAGTGTCCGATGCCACGGGTTGGTGCGATGAAAACATGACCTTAACTTTGAAAGCTCATGTGTATACAGTGTAGCGGGTACGGTTTACGAGAGGCTTGGGACAAGCCAACAAGGACTCTCTTAAATCCGATATTCTCTAGAATATTCTCTCTTACAATATGCTGTACCCGCTACTGCTGTACCATGGTATGCAGTGGCGGTGGAATTTTGCTGTTGCTTATTTGTTTTGTTTCGGGCAGCGGCATCCACACTCCACCTTCTCTCCTCGCGTCTTGGTCTTTGTATTGCACTCCTCGCATCTCGGTCTTTTTATTGTACTTGTTTGGGTTTCCTACTTTTTAGTTTCGGAGATGGAATGTGGTGAGGGTTTAGAGGACGTCTTGGGCGAAGAGCATGGCACCGTATTTTGAGCCAGGAGCAACGCGGTGTTGATATGTATTGCGTTTTATGTTTTTAGTGTATCGTGTTTGTTTGCCACCGCTGTGTTATCACTGCCGCTGCTGGTGTTGTTGCGTCCTGCTTATCTTCTCGCTGCTGCTCTTGCTCTGCTGGTGTCGGTGTTGCTTTCGGTCCCTTGAGTTTGGAGTCGACGCAGTCGGTGCCTCGCCTGCTGTGTTGCTGTGTCTTTTGTTCCTGGTGGCTTTTTACCTTGCCTCCCCTTTTGCCTGACTCAAGCCTCGCTCGCCTCCATTGGTTGCTAGTCTATGCCCGCGGCGTCTTTATCTTGATCTTGGTGCCGAGGTTGTCGCTGCTTTGTTTGTTTTGCTGGTGGTTCTCTCTGCTCCCCCTGCCTGGCTCAATCCTCGCTCAGCCCCATTGGTTCCTATGTGCCCGCCACATCACTGTTGTTGGTCTTGTGACGGTGGGGGTGGGTGGGACCCGCAGCTGAAGCAGGAGGCGGATGCCAAGAAGAAGCAGCTGGCGCAGGACGCCAAGGACCGGATTGCCGCGGACAAGAAGGCTAAGCGAGAGGTACTGTACGCACCTTGTTGTGATCGTTTTTGTGTTGCTGCTGCTGTAAAAGCGTTGGTGGTGGTGGTGGTGGTGGTGGTGGTGCTGCTGCTGCTGCTCCATTTGTTGCTGTTGGCGAATGGTATGTGGTGCTTTTATATTGAGCAAGAGTTGTGGCCGTCGCGCAACAACCCCTTTCCTGTTGCTGCTGCTGCTACTACAGCCGCCGCAGCTGCTGCTGCTGAATTT